GCTTCTGGTGGTGGTATCGACAAATTGATAAGTATATATGTATATATATATAGTAGCAAGTAGACTTTATAAGTTAGGTTGGTTTCTGTACGTATATACGTATCATTGAATGATAAATTTAATGAGTAAAGAGTGTATCATTTTCCTGTGATCCCACTTGCTTATATTTTTATATAAACTTTTAAGATTACAAGACGCAATCAGAATATAAACTTGTATTTAAACTAAAAATGCATATTCACACAATGCAAAATTTAATAATACAAATACTGGTCCATTATGTCAAGTCGCCACAAAAAAAATACGAAATTTGATCAATAATTAATGACATTAATATACTAGATGATTATTAATGTAAATCGACCCTGATATATTTTTGGTCTGGTGATATTTTTACGTTCTATTTTCGTATCATAGAAATAAAGGATAACTCGAAATCTTAATTATTCAAATCGTGTTAACCATAATATTATATCGAGTTACACTTAATCTCTTTGTGTTGAAATAAGATTCGAGTTTTAACCGAGTCATTCTTTGAAATCCAGTGGAATTATATACAAGGTGGCCCATGTAAAGTGTTACAAGCTATTATCTCTGAAAGTGTGTGTCAAATGACTAATATGTTCAAACAAAAGTTTTATAACTTTGAGGAGAACACAAGATGGTACCATTTGTTTGACCTTAGATAGCGTTGTCAAAGTGAGAGCAAGGCTATTTTGAAATTTTTAAATGGAGAACTTCTCATATTTTATTACATATTCTTGTAACTTACCTCGAGAGCTTTCCAAAACACTATAATTAAGTTCATTTTCATTAAGTACTTTTCGAGTTATGAGGCTTGAAAGTTACAATATCGCCGGCATTAGCATTAAACAAGGTGTCCGACTAATGGCTAAAACCGAGGGGGTAACCACTTAATGTAATCGTGGGACAGAGTCCTCGAAATCATTATAAAATTTATATGAAATCTCTATGCATAATCCGATAATTACATATAAAACCACGAGAAACTATTGTATAATATTAAATAAAATCGTATATTTTACCAAATTACTTCATATGTAGTAGAAAAAATTATTTGTAATCAGATAAAATCATATGAAATCATATAATCTGTGGGACAATATTTCACCTAGTGGTTACCCCCTCGGCTAAAACCTTTTGAATGTTGTTCAGGATCATGTCCTGGATAACATTTATCAAGATCAAGGCCATTGGAGGTTGTACCTCTCATTTTCATTTTTACGTAAAAATGTATTTTTAGTGCAAAAATAAAAATAAGAGGAATAATCTCCAATGGCCTTGATCTTGATAAATGTTATCCAGGACATGATCCTGAACAACATTCAAGAGGTTTTAGCCGTCGGTCGGACAATTTGCATAATGCTAATGCCGACTGTACTGTAACTTTCGATTCTCATAACTCGAAAAGTACTTAATGAAAATGAACTTAATTATAGTGTTTTGGAAAGCTCTCGAGGTAAGCTACAAGAATATGTAATAAAAAATGGGGGGTTCCATTTAAAAAATTCGAAGTGGCCTTGCTCTCACTTTGACAACGCTACCCAAAGTCAAACAAATGGTACCATCTTATGCTCCCCTCAAAGTCATAAAACTTTTGGTTAAACATATTAGTCATTTGACACACACTTTCAGAGATAATAGCTTGTAACACTTTACATGGGCCACCCTGTATAATCTTGTCATGTATAATGTATACTATAACGTCGAGACAAGAGATACTGAATTTAGTGTGTCCGATGAATATATCCAATTTTGAATAAATGAATAATTAATACATATGAATATAATTTTTTTGGTATTAATGGGAAATGAATAAATACTTTTTATTTGGTTTGAATGAATATATTTATGAATATAGTATGATTATGGATTTTGATTTTGCATTTACTCCCACTCTGTAACCATAACATTATTTAATACATTCCTTGGTGAAAACATTGGCAATAGTTTTCATTTTCTTTTCGGTATATAATATTTCCCGAACTTTAACCAAGCTAAAATATTTTATGTACTGTATCAACAGTTAAGCGATTACGCTTGTTTACAAGTAAGTTGAAACTATTACAAACACTATACACTTGCATCAGAAGCTAATAGATAGTCTCCGATAACCTAAGGGTGAGATAAGCATATCTTCGTAATCTTATATCTAAATTTAAATTTAAGTAGAAAAGCTAGTACAACGAGAATTTAATATGAAAGCGATAACATGAATGGCCTTTCACCACAAAAGTGTATTTGAATATTTAGTATATCATAGGTCATTAATTACGTTTAAGGGGAAAGGGTTGCTTATTGAAACTTTCTTTTTTAATTTATACTTTGTTTGAATAAATATTAATTATACACGTAAAATAATCATAAAATATTCATAAATACATATTTTTAAAAACTCATAATTTTGAATAAATACATAAATAAATATTTTTTAGAATATGTATAGCTAATGTTTTTATTAGCGACTATAACATTTCTTGATTGAAATATAATCTGGCTAGGATATAACAGTCTATAAAAATATGTTTACTGTCAGTTAATTTGACGCTTCGATATTCATGGCTGGCTTAAAGACTATGGTATAAAAAAAATGTAAACAATAAACAGTAAACGAATTGGTAATTACAATTCAAAATTGTCACAAAAATTATATATTTATTATTTTAAAACTCTTGGCTTTAGTTTTTTTACTACTAAAATTTGTTTTTTATATGTTTTTGCCTAAAAAACATTCTTACTATTGTCTAGAATATCTTGTTGATTTTTATTTGCTTTCCAATCCAGGAAATAGCTTCGAATTCAAGTTTCTTTGACAAGATATAAAAATAATGCGTCTGATAAAAATATCTTTTTTTATATCTCGGTAGAAGTTCGTCGGGTAGAACACGAAAATCAAATTCTTATTTTACAATGACTAAATTAACGAAAAAAAAAAAAAAAAATGTTTCCGCCCGGGATCGAACCGGGGACCTTCCGCGTGTTAGGCGGATGTGATAACCACTACACCACGGAAACTTCTTGAAATTACAAGTCTACAGTACATGCTTTCTGTGGGATGATATCTCGAAATTATCTGGGACACTTGTCGTATGTTATATACTGTTATCCAATGTTCATTGTCGATGAAAAAAAAAACAAAAGATATTACTGCCTTAATATTTGCAGCGCACTTTATCGCAAAAACATTATCCCCCAACTTTTCTACTACATATATTGTAGTATTATGCACGATTCGAATTATCGACGCTAGTGTTATTTCGTATTAACATTCCTATCTATTAAATGTAATCGATGCCTTTGGTTCAAATAATTCGACGTACATATAAAGCGACAATAAAATAAAACATATGAGATCGAAAGCGTTGTAAATATAGACATTTTTGCGAAAGTTTTTTAAAAATCATCTAGAATGAGATTGAGTTTTTGTTTTTATATTATGTTCATTCTATATCATTAATTTATTTAAAACACGCTACAAAACAAATATTATTTAAAAAATCTATAAAACAAGCGTAAAATAAACTTTGCGAAATGTTTTTCAAGATCGACTTAGGATGTTGAATGTGCATAAGACGCAATAAGAAATATTGTGTGAACGATCAACCAAGCAATTTATGTATCTCCCGATCAGCTGATTCCATATCGCTTTGGTTTATGGCCGATTAAATCGACTCGCTTTCGTAGAAAAAAAATTACTTGTGTTGCGATTACATGCGCTTTGTCAAAACGTCGTAAGCTATTTCGTAGGATCGCGTTTTCGATAGGATCGCGAGGAGGTGAATCGGAATGAGTTAAAAAAGTTTCCAACATCGTTTCACCGTCGATTCCGTCATCGACCATGTTATAACTTGCTCCGACTTTCGCGCATAAATATCATTCCGTTCTAGATTTCGCAATTGGTAACGCTTATATCTTAGGTTTTATTTTTAACGACAGCAATCATATTTTTTTTTGTGCAGAACGTCACATGGTCTCGAGAACAAGGAGATCGTTATGCGAGAAACGGTTTAAAATTGCTAAAACGAAGTTACTAGAACAAGTTAAAATATCAGCCTAAAAGATATATGACGAAATGAACAAATCATCAGTTTTTGCTTTCAAAATTTATTAACGCTAAATTTCGTAATGAAAATTGCGAAGTTCATTACGCTTGTTTTTATAGCGTTTGCAGTGAACTTATCCTCGAATGCATACATTCATTTCCAAATCGTGTCGTTTCCAAAAGATTTAACCTCATTTTAGATTCTAGATGATTTTTATTTCGCATCAGATTTTAGGATAAGATTTTATTTGTCGTTTGATACATATTCTATCATTTTCTACCATTAGAGAGCTGCGAAACCAATAGAATAATATAGAGAAGACTCATTACAAATAATATCAGCTATTCTGTTCTGCTGAGTATTATCTGCTACTGTCACATCTTGTTTTTTTTTCTCGCAAACACATGACACACAAGAACGTACATGATGAATGTTTGCGAATGTGCGTACCGTACTTATTGCTGATTGTTAAAAATTGCATTATCAAGCAAAAATTATCAAAGAAACATTGTTTTTTCAAAGAGACAGAAATTAAGTTTAAAAGTAAAATTCCAAAAATGTCTCTGAGAATCAATAACATTTCATAAAAATTCCTGATTTTCAAGGGTAAACAAGAAATCTGAACATTCTAGATTTTCCAGATTTTTTCAGGTAACAAACACAATCCTGTGAAGGTTCCAGTATTGTATAGTATACAGGAATGAAAAATAGAACTTACATTTGGTACCTGGAGCCATGGAAAATTGAACAAAGACAGCCCTGTGCGATACACATGGAAAACGAACCGCGTGATTGGTCGCCGTGACGACTCAGCAGTGTGTGCGCATGTGCACGTACGACCGTTGCCAATGGATTAACGCCGAACGTTGCCGAGCATTGCCGAAGCCATGAATTGCGTTTCCCGGAACGAAATTGACGGAAAGCGGATCTTGCGGTACAGCTTACAGCGTATTCGTCGTTCAGCCGTTGGTATCGATGCGTCGGGAGGCGCTGTTTGTGACTAATTTAATCGTTAATCGATAATTGAATTTAATCGACAACCGAATTGCGCGTAATTTCATATCGTGAAATCTTCGGACTTCGGACTGGCGGAGTAAGGAGACATCGTGGAAACATGAAGGAGATCCTTATCGCGCTCAGCGCGATTCTAGCTGGTAAGTCTATGTCTCATCTGCATGTCCTATTTCCGCTCTGCGAAAAATTTTTCTCCCGATGGTTCTCGTAATCGTCGAAAGTGATCCCTGTTTTGCGTCATCCCGATGTCCTATCATTCTCGCGACAATCCCGCCCCACAATGCGCATTTCTATCTAGAATGTGTTTTGTTTGGCAACTCGTACTTACGTATACGTAATCTATAAATGTACCTCGGCCTCGTAAACATTATGACGTTGCGGACATTGTATAGTTTTGTTTACGAGTGACTTTTAGTTTTATTTTTGAACGATTTATTTAGCGTCCAGCTCATTATTGACTTTTATCGGTCTCTTCCATCTGTCAGATCTCCCTTTCCCGCAGTCTTTTCTTTCGGTCTTTTGTTATTGCGCTCTCTTAGCGTCCGTCTCTTTCTCTCTGTCCTTCTCGCGTTGCCGGGTAATCACGTTTCCATTACTCATTGCGAAGAAACTCTAGGATGAATAGGATGACTCAGTTGATTTGAGCTTGTAATTTGTTAATTTAGATGGAATGTACGATTGAAAACAGAATTACTCGATTGTATTGCGATAACAATGATAATGGCTTATAATAACGTTCTTGATAATTCTTATCATCGAATGATGAGCAAATCTTGAGTGTTTTCTTAGCATTGTTTCAAAATTCTATATTATTGAGTCGCTCATTTATTTCCATGAATGTACCAAATATAGCAGACATGGAAACTGTGAACAAGGCAATGAATGCTTCCTGCCTTGGGGATTATTCATCGTTTCAAGAAGTTGAAAACTAAGCCAAGAATTTTATTTTTTTATTTTAGACTTTTTTGTAATTAATTTATAAGATTGTACCTGAAAATGATAAAATAGATACAATTTTCTAATTTTCAGTAACCGCAGCTAGAGTGATCATATCTGCTAACACAGAAGATGGTCTTTTGGGTAGAAATGAATGTACGTGGGGTCCAAGTTACTGGTGCGAGAATCTAAAGTAGGTTTTTTTTAATAATTATTTTAATATATTTTTTCTGCATATATTGAAATAAAGTAGTAAAATGATGAAATAGATTTATAAAATGTATTCAAAATGCATTCATTATGTATTTATAATATACAGTATAATTGTTAAATAAACAGTAATGATAAAACATTGAAATTAGCTTTCTATATCTTTTATTTTAATTAATTTTTTTATAATTGATATAATTAGTATAACATTGTAATAATAATGATTATACTAATATTACTGATATTAATAATAGGACAGCTAAACAATGTAGCAATGTCAAACATTGTATTCATAAATATTGGGAGCAGATGGAAGTTCCAGAAGATAATGATAATGTATGTGGAATTTGTAAAGATATGGTAAAACAGGCGCGAGATCAATTGGAGAGTAATCAGACTCAACAAGATCTGAAAGATGTCTTTGAAGGAAGTTGCAAACTAATTCACATTAAACCAGTTGTTGACGAATGTATCAAACTTGTGGATCAATTTATTCCTGAACTTGTAGAGACACTGGCATCTCAAATGAATCCGTCTGTCGTTTGTTCTGTCGCAGGATTGTGTAACAATGCTCATATAGATAAATTGCTTACAGAGTATCAAACTTCGATAAAGGTAAGGACAGTATCAGTTCTGTTTTGCTATTTTATTACATCACCTTGTTTTATTATATCGCCTTGAATAGATCAAAACTTCCAAACTTGATTTCATTACAATTTTAGTTTTTATAGGATGAGATTGTAAAGTCCCTTGCCTAACCTCCATTCTGAAAGAAACAATTAAGTTTGAATTTTTGTTTTTCAAATGATAATTATCACAATTTGTTTATTGTTAATTACCTTGGGATTAAATTTGTTTTACAAATTTTGTTTTTATTAAGATATTTTTGCATTTAAAATTTTTACTGTCTAATACAAATTCGACAATCAAATCCGAATCTTATAGTGAATTTGGTTGAACACACTAGTGCATATACACTAATTTAATCTAAATGTAAAAATAAAATGAAAATATTTTACATCATAAAATACATATTTTACTTCAAAGCATAATAAATATATTATGGATTTCACGATTGCTCAGACTATTCTAGATTGAGTTATCTAAAGTCCTATTTTTTGTGCATTATTTAAATTTGCATTTATTGGTTAAAAAAGTTATGCTATTTTTTTCAAAATAATTCAATTATACCAATTATCATCAAATAATCTATTGACATTCATATATATATATATATATATATAATATATAATATAATAGAGTGTATATAGTCTCAAAGTCCCTCAATATTTCGGAAAATAAGTATTTTCGAAAGAAATGTTTATTTTCCACAACATTTTTCATATATTCTATATGTATGAACGTATATGAAAATATTAATGAATGCTATTCAATGCAGATTAAGTCTCACTAATCTAAATTGTTCAAAAATATTCAAAGGCGATAGATATGAAAATAGCATTCATTAACATTCTCACATATATTCATGTATTCATTATTTTATTTAATTATCACAATAATAAAATTTATAAATATTATATATCGAATTTTATATCTGTATGTTTGATAAATAACAGTGGATAAAGAATGTTAGTATGTATCAGCATGATTGGTAAAGTGACTGTTGACAAAGAACATATGTTATATTTTTAGAAGGACGAAACAAAATTAGTTGTATTAAAGAATGATGAACTTGAGCCTGACGAGTGCACCAAATGTTACACGATAGCAAAGTATATGGAAAATAAATTGCATCATACACCGCAGAACACAATGCTTCTACAATTTTTGAATGTTTGCGGTCAACTTAGTTCTTACTCGGATTCCTGTTCGGCCATTGTTATGAAACATTTTGATGCCATTTATAACCATTTGCAGGATAATTTCAATGCGGATAATATATGTCACTTATCGGGACAGTGCAGCAGCAAATATCATAAACACGAAAATAGTACAGTAAGTATAATAACATATATATTAATAATATCTATTTAGCTCTCTGAATTTTATTTTAATATGTATTGCAATAATAGGTTCCAGAAGTAGAGATAACACCATTGTCAAGTGTAGGCATGGTAGAAGTTGAAGATGATCTCCCATGTAAGTTGTGTGAGCAACTTGTGGGTCATTTGAAAGATCTTTTAGTTGCAAACACGACGGAGATAGAATTTAAAGAAGTTCTCCTAGGTCTTTGTAAGCAAACTAAATCTTTTGCCGATGAGGTTTGTATTTTAAATAAATAGTCATATATTTTTTTTTGTTTCATATGTCTAGTACTAATGGAGATTATTTCTAGTGTAAAGCCATAATTGAAGAGTATTATGTACAAATTTATGAATATCTTACAAAAGGATTGAATAGTAATGTTATCTGTCAAATGTCTGGAATTTGTCCTAGTCCTGACAAAACGGTGCAAGTAAGGACATATTGCATTTTATAAGTAATAAAATATACTTTATAGATTTAAAAAAAATCTGATTATATCTTGTTTTATGTTAAAATAGGGACCAATTTGGCCTTTGGTCCCAGTAGAAGTAGCAAATATAGGAATGAAGGTAATGGAAAAGGTACAACCTCGAAAAGGGGTGGCTGAAGTTACTATTGGCAAAGAATATCCAAAATCAGAAGCTGAAGAGATGCAACTACCTTTTGAAAGATTGATGCCTCTTTCTTTAGTGCAATCTGAAAGTGTTGATGGAATGAAAGCCTGTACATTTTGCGAGTATTTGTTGCATTATATTCAAGACGCTATTACAAATCCTGTAACTGAGGTAACGAGAATATTAAATTTTATGAAATGTATATATGTAAACATAACACACAATTCATACTTATAAATACATCAAAATTTAAGGAGAAAGTGAAAGAATTTCTTGGAAAAATATGTACAAAGGTACCTTCTTCCATTGAAGGCGAATGTGAACAATTTGTAAATACTTACGGGGATGTAGTTGTGGCCCTACTTGCCCAGGAAATTGATCCATCACAGGTAATGTATTTTTTGTATTTAAAATATGGAGATCAATAAAAAATATAACTTATTGTGTTATTTAAGATTTGTCCTATGCTACGTATTTGCCCATCAGAAGCATTGTTAAACATATGGAAAAAAATTCCTAAAGAGTTTACCATTACAGAAGAAAAAGATAAACCAGGTTGTCCATTGTGTTTGCTTGCAGTACAGCAGATTTATAATGCTATCGAAAATAATAGAACTGAGGTATTAATCCGCTGTTTATCATGTTTATAATGATTATGTTTGAGTATACAATTTATTTAATATAATATTAATATTACAGGCTAACATTAGAGCTGAATTGAATAAATTATGTAATCATTTGCCACGTAATTTGATCGATGAATGCACAGATTTTGTGAAATCATATAGCGACGAACTTGTAGAGATGATACTTACAGATTTGTCTCCCCAGGAAGTATGCGAATATCTTCGTTTATGTGTGTCAACCAAAGATCCTGGTCCAAAACATAACTATATTACTGAGCAGGATGGAGAAATACGTAAGTTATTTCTTGAAGTATATATGTAAATGAAGAATAGAGCAATTTGTTACAATCATTTTATAACAAAAATATTTGTAAGACAGAAAACATTTTTAATATTTCAGTAACCAATGAGATACCTGAATATCCATTACATATAGTTCAACCCACAAATTCTTTATCCGATAGTGGGTGTGTAATTTGTGAATTTGTAATGAAATATATTGATAAAGAGATTGGTAACAAAAAGGCGCGGGATAAAATCGAAAATGTGGTACATGGTGTGTGCAATCATTTACCAAAAACAGTTGCCAAGGAATGCAATGACTTTGTGGATAACTATGCTGACACCGTAATAAGAATTCTTTCAGAGGATGTCAGTCCTAAAGAGGCCTGTAGGGTGTTAGGTCTTTGCACCGTGAGCATGGTACAAATTCAAGGTACAGAAATAATTATGTTATAAATTTTGCCAATATTATATGGGAATGTATACATAATTTAATTATTACAGAATCTGTAACTGAATGTGCCTTATGTCGAGCAATTATATCGCAAATTGATAAGCTGTTAGGTGATTCAAAGGTGGACGCTGAAATCGAAGAAGTTGTTAGGAAGGTGTGCAAGTATCTACCAGCAGATAAACAAGATATGGTAATATCTTATTACTTTACGATTTCTTTTTTTTTTTTTTGCGAAAAACCAATATAACTTAAAACTAAAATTTAAATTTGTACAGTGCAACAAGATGGTGAATATTTACGGGCCCAGTATAATAAATATGCTGAAAGATGATATTGATAGTGAACAAATGTGCAGCAAAATGGCTTTATGCTCTTCCAATGACTATTTTGCAATGTCACTTATGAATTCACGTGTATCACGATCAATTACCGAGTCTAAAAAATGTACGTGGGGCAAAGATTTCGTGTGCGAAAACGAAGAAATAGCGAGACTTTGCAACGTAAGTATACAAACCTGTGATATTATTAAGAAAGTATGAACAATAGTTTTTAAATTACTGGTTTTGAATTAGGTTACGAAGCAGTGCGAAGAACACCGCAAAAATGGTGAAGTTCAATAATTTTTTCAATTAAGAGTGATTGCACAAGCTGCAAATTGGAGGCAAACATAAGAAGTGAGAACAAAGCGTGATGCGTTATGCTCCTCAATTGAAAGTGTTAGACTTCTGGAGATATTAGCTGTAGCCTATTTCATGTTATGATATTATATATAGATCATCTTTTTATTAAATCTCTCTAACTGTATTCGAGTGCTCAAATAATATTGATCTGTGTAGACATGACGAATGCCATGCGATTTTCATATTTGAACCAAATAATACGCGTAGTTGCCGTACCTAAGTTATGTTGACGAAATTTCTAATTTTTAATAACACCGCAAGGGTCTATTATTTTCTTCAATTAAAATAAAATGCTGTTTTATACAATCGAAATAATATATTAAAAAATATGAATACCGTCTTTCTACGTATTTTTTTTTTTTTAATATAACTGACCTATAGCAATGATCTGTTATTTTTACTGTGATAATGGTAAAATAAATACATTTGATTCTGTATATTGTATTCTTAAAATTGTATGATTATTATATATATTTTTTTTAATAAACATTCTCTTTCTTTTGCATGTGGGATATATTACCTGGAAAATTTCCACTTCTCCAATCGCAATATTACGACAATTGAGAATGTTTATTCCTGAAAAGATAAAATTTTATAACTACATAAACACGAAAATTTTTAATTCATCGAGACAGAACGAGGCGCACGACTGTTCACGTTGTCGATGGATTTATTGTTAGATTACGTATGAGTTGTGCAAAATGATGAATATTATCGACTATTGCTGAAGTCATAAATTGTTTCCCGAAACGAAAAACTGCTTTTGAAGTTAAAATAATGATTCATCGTTCAGCAATCGGTGTCGATTACTTAATCTGGAAGGGTTTATTGTTCACGACTCATGTCGTTTGATCATCACGTGTTCAATCACGCAGTAATTCAACTACGTACAATTTGTATTTGGAATAAATTGTCTTCTCCACGTTTTATTTTTAAATGACGAGATAAAGTATGATGAAAATTTTATTCACGCTTGACACGATTCTAGCTGATTGATATTTCGCCGCGCTTTTCATCTTCGTTTTTTCTCCGACAATTTTCTCATGTTCATTGCATTTAAAAATGAAATAGATATATCTATATACAAAACTTGCCTTAAACAAGAAGGAAAGTTTTAGTACTATTTAATTAGTGCAACAATAAAAAATAAAATGAGAGAGAGAGAGAGAACTTAAAGATTCATTATATATAGAGATACTTTTGTTATATATTATTCAGATTAGCTACAACCTTAGAGAGTGCGTGCGCGTGTATTATACACATATTATACCACACATGGTATATCTACATGGTTACACCGTCATGAGATGGTTTTCCATCGCAATTTTACATACTTTCGATCTTCTAATATTTTATATAAGTTTAAATTACAGTTTTATAAAGTTTAAATAACAAAATGACAATAACAATGAGAATATATAATTTTAACACATACTTTATCGGCGTATGCACGAAATTTTGCTTGGACAAAAGTAACTGCATGAAGGAAAGTAAAGATTTAAGTCACGTAGATCGTTTATAAGAATCTGTGATCAATATAAATATCAAGTATGTTAATCGTTACAAGACAAAAGCAAGGTTGTCATTAATTCTAAAAATTGTATGTCAAGGACAAATACATAAATAAGTCATATATATATATGTATTTGAAGGGTAAAAATCATATGTTAAAATATAAATTAAGATAGGATTCATGTTCGTAAACTATTTAAAATTGAAAAATAAGCATGATGGAAATATATAATATATTTGTATCGTTTTTTATTCATGGAGATGTTTGTCCTCTCTTAGGATCATGCAGAAAATTGGACAAAGTTTGCGTGATGCGCACGGGGAAATAAACACGTGGTTACCACGATAGCAATATGTGCGCACGCTTAATGTGCAAGTTATTGTCGATGAATTTATTGTTGGATTACGTATATGAATTGAAAAATGGTTTTTGAAGTTATAACAATTCGTTATTCAGCAGTCAATGTCATTTAGTCTGGAAGTGCCATACACGACTCATGCTTTTTGATCATCGCACGCTCAATCACTCAGTATAATCTAACTACACACAATTTGTATTTAAAAAAATACAAATTATCTTCACTACGTTATCTTTGAAATGATGAGACAAAGCATGAAGGAAGTTTTAATCATGTTCGGAGCGATTCTAGCTGGTGAGTTGACATTTTGCCGCCCTTTTCATATCTGCTTTTTCTCTCTAATAATTTTCACATATATGTTTTTTGTACTCAAAATAAAATAAAATGTTTAGTAAATTTAAAAGTTGCTTGCAATTAAACTAAATGTCACTCGCAAATAAAATTAAATTTGCAAAGTTTCAAATATCAGAATATTTATTGCAAAATTGAAGTACAAATATTACAAATATTACATGCGCTTAACTGTTAAATAAAAAAATATTCCAAAAAAAGAAACTCGCATCAGAGAAAGATTATTGCTAAGTGATAAAGAAAATAAAAATAATGACATAAGAATAATTTATTTCCAACAAACACCAAATTAGTTATAATTTACTCAACAATATAACTAATATAATATACGTGTTATATTGTAATTATATTATTGAATAGGAAATTACAACTAAGTATGTTAACTTGATGTTTTCTGGAGTTATAATATATGCAATATATACCCGATGACTATATAGTTAATCTAATTATATAATAGGTATCAAAAATATCCTTAATATAATATTAATTTATTTTTAAGTTTATTTTTTATTATTGTACCTGGGCTGTATTAAAACTTCCTTCTTCGCCAAATTTAGACTATACATACAGATGCGCGGTTAGCACGCACTATTTGATTTTTTATTTTTTACTTTTTATCATACTTATTCAAATGCTTGAATACTTAAAAGAAATTTTTAATATTTAAAATAAATTTTTTTAATCTTTCAGTAATCAGTGAAGTACCTGGGTATCCATTACAACCCGCTAATATTTCTGATGATGTTTGTATAATTTGTAAAATTGTATTACAAATTACGGATAAAACTATTAATATAAATGACGACACGCGAGAGGCAATCGCAAAGGCTGCACATAATACGTGCAATTATTTTCCACAAACAGTTGCCACGGAATGCAATTACTTTGTGAATAAGTATGGTGACACTATAATAAATGCCCTCTCAAAAGGTGTCAATCCTAAAGAAACATGTACTCGGCTAGGTTTTTGCAAAGGAAGCATATTATAAATCCAAGATATAAATTACAAGAAATAAATTAAAATTTTTGTTAATATTATATGGAAATGTGTATGATCTAATTATTTACTTCGACATAGAATCCGTATTTGAATATGTCCTATGTTGAGTAATTATATCGTACATTGATAAGTTATTGATTGAATTAAATTACGAAGTAATGTGAAGATTACTGCAAAAGAATGGTAGGTACGTAAATAAAAATAAAAGTTTTCAATCACGAGTGATGTACAATCGTGATCAGAACGGTTGCAACACTTTTTTTTCAATGAGTTTTGGAATATAGTCTGCTCATCAAGCGATTGGTTTTTACTTATAGATCCATAAATAAAAACCAATCGCTTGATGAGTAGGTTGTATTCTAAAACTCATTGAAAAAAAGTGTTGCAACCGTTCTGACAATGACCGTACAAGCTACAAATTGGAGGCGAATGTAAGAAATAAGAACAGAGTGATGCATTACGTTCCTCAATTGGAAGTATCAGATATGGAATCATTATAGCTATAGCTTATTTTATGTTATATATATATATATATGTATATCCAAATGATCTTTTTATCAAATCTCTGTATATTCGAGCACTCAGATAATATTGATCTGTGTAAACACGACGATTACTATTCGATTTTTGAATATTTGAACCAAATAATACGCATTTGCTATATTTAAATTGACAGACATGTACGTCACAGAATTTGATAATTTTTACAAACGTCATAAGGATTCATTTTCTTCAATTAAAATAAAATAAGTTGCTATATCTCAAGCTATATCTCAAGCTTTAAAAACATAAATTGTCTGCTTGAGACATAGCAACTTATTTTATTTTAATTAATGTTAAATAGAAATGTTGACATTAAATAAAAAAATATATGTTTAGAAAACTGTCAAAATGTTTTGAAAAGGTTTATTTTAAATTAGTTTTTAAAAAACGTTTAATATACGCTACAAAAAAAAAAGTCTTATAAATATTTTTACATAACGTTTATTATATAGTTTTAAAAGCATATTAAATTTTTAACATTTATATTTTAATTTATTACATAATTTTTAACATTTATTAAATGTAATGTTGATCGAGTATTTTGTATAATCTAAATGATATATAACGAATCTAAATTCCGTCTCTCTATTTGTATTTTTTCTATATACATTTAACTTATAGCAATAATTTGTTATTTTTAATTGTGATAATTGCGGAATAAAAAATAAAAAAATATTTGATTCCGAATTTATGAGTTTTATTTCTAAAAATGTATGATTTATATCATATTCTTTAAATAAAATATTCTCTCTCTCTCTCTCCCTCTCTGCGTATGAGATATTTTGTCTGAAATATTTCCTTTTTTCAATCACAATATATAACGATAATCTAGAATATTACATATATTTTTTTTGAAAGATAAAGACAATAATTACATAGCGCCGCATGAAAATTTTCAGTTCATCCAATCATAGATACAATTCTACCGGTTTTACTCATACAAACGTAAATTGTTTGAAAAGACTTCCTTCATTTAGAAAATTGGACAAAGTAGCCTTGCGTGATGCATATGGGGAATGAAAACACGTGGTTGCTGCAATGGCTCAGTAATGTGTGCGCACACTTGAGCGTGCACGTCGATGGATTTATTGTCGGACTACATGTGAGTTGTGTGAAAAGACGAATACTACCGATTATTGCCGAAGTCATGAATTGTTTTCCGAAACGGTTTTTGAAGTTACAACGATTCGTGGTCCAACAATCGATTAGTCTGAAAGTGTCGTTCATGACTTTTACGCCATTTGATCGTCGCGCGCTCAATTACGTCGTAACTCAACTGTGCACAATTTGTATAGTGCAATACAAATTGTCTTCGCTACATCGACTTTGAAGTGATGAGGAAAAGCATGAAAGAAATTTTGATTGTGCTCAGTGCGATTTTAGCTGGTGAGTTGACATCTCACGCTTTTCCTATCCGTTTTATCCTCCCATAACAATTTTTTCATATGTACGGTCTTTGTTCTTAAAATGAAATATAGTTTAAATTTGCCGAAAACGAAAAGAAAAGTTTTTTAGTGCATTAATTTCAGTATAGCAATAAAAAGTATACTTATAAAGATAGATTACGTATATTAAGGATACTTCTGCTACGTATTATTTAAACTATCTATAAACTTTTCAGTATATATACATATTCTAAGTTGTCTTACGTTATAATTCTGTTTCTTTTTGACGTTTCAGGAACGCGCTTTCATTGCAGCACTATCAGTGCATTCTATCTTTGTTTTACGTCTAACGATAGAATGATGCATTAACGTTGAAAGCATACTTCCAGAAACATAGTCTTTGTCACATCGCGATAATCTCATTCTGATGCGCACTTCTTTCTGGAATACTTTTTTTTTGTTTAGCAGTTACGCGCATGTAATATTTGTACCTTCACCTTGTAAATATTGCGACATTTAAAATCTTTATTTGCAAGCAATGTTTAATTTTATTTGCGAGTCACATTTAGACCGGCATTTATAGTCGATTCTTATATTTAAAATTATCTTAAATACAATCTTAAGATGTCATAAATCAATTACAGAGTTGTGTGTTATTAGCATTTTAAGATATTATTTAAGACGATCTTGAAATAAGAATTGTCTATGGTTAGCTTTTCTGATCTTAGCTTTTATTTGTGACCGAAGTTTAGTTTTATTTATAAGTTTTTTTTTATTTCATTTGGATACAATGTTTAATTTCCAGTACGTATAATAGCTTTAGATTTCATCGGTTATTTTTCTATTACAAAATCCTTTCAATCTTCCTTTCTCGCGGGCTTTTTTTCCTTTTTTGTTATCATTGTCTTTCTGTTTTTCTTTCTGTCCTTGCATCGCGGGATTTGTTTTTGTCATGACAAAAGTACCGTATGTACTGAAAATACTGTATAAATACAAGATAAATCTGTTGATTTGAACTTTTAATTTATTTAGGTAGAATGTAAGATTATCGTTAACCGAAATCTTGTAATATTACAATAACGATAATAGCTTATAATATGCTAATGCCAATAATGCTTATTATCGAATGATAATACGAACAAGATATTTCCTTACAATAATATTTCAAAATTCTATATTGTTGAGTCACTGATATATTTCTATGAATACACTAATTGTAGCAGAAATAAAAAATTGTAAATGAGATATTTAAAGTTTTCTGAACTTAATATCAGCTTACGGATTTTTTGTTCATGTACAGCAAAGTACATGAACAGTAAAACAGCGACATATACACTGCCGTCGAAAATCTTGGCGGAATTGTTAAATGAAGACAGGCCAATATTATCTCCATTAAAGATTATTCACCTTCAGCACACGAAGCAGATTGATAAATGTTCAATGATTCTTTATTTGCATAATTAGTTATTATGCTTAAATCCAGCAAAAATTCAAGCCAAAGCCCAATTATATTAAAGAATCATTAAGCGTTCTGAAGAAATTACTGAGCTGATCTGTTTTGCGTGCTGAACGTGCCCACTATTAACGTTAAGAAGAGTTCAAATTATTATTTTGAAAATAATCTTGAATTTTTAACTCTAGATTTTTATAATATTCAACTTATAAGATCAGGATTGAAAATTATATGAATGCAATTCTTTAATTTTCAGTAATCACAGCTGAAATAATCGCAACTGATCCCAAAGTGAGTTTGATGGAAGAAGAACTTCGAAAAGAGGTTTCTCTAAAAAAACATTCTTCGGAAGTAGAAGTGCATTTACCACTTGAATTAATGCCTTATCCTTTGCAATCCGAAAATACTAATAGAACGAAAGTGTGTACATTGTGCGAATATTTATTACTAGTGTTTGTTTATTTTGGAGACATTACAAATGTAAATGAGGTAATAAATATCAAATGTTGTGACTTTGCGTATATAATATTATATATAGAATTCATAAATATATCAAAATTTAAGGAAAAAGTGAAAGAATTTCTTGGAAGAGTGTGTATAAAGGTACCTACTTCCGTTGGAGATGATTGTCAAAATGTTGTAAATACTTATGGAGGTGCAATTTTGGCCACACTTGCTATGGACATTGATCCATCTTTGGTAATATATTTTTGTATTTAATGAATCAGTAAAATATATATTTATTGTATGCAATTTAAGGTTTGTCCTATGATACGTATTTGTCCATCGGATGTATTAGTAAATATGTGGGAAGAAATTCCTAAGAATTTCATCAGTACAAAAAATGAGCCAAATTGTCCATTCTGTTTGCTTGCAGTATCACAGATTTATAATGTTGTTAGAAGCAATAAAACTGAGGTATTATATAGTCTACTATTTATTATATTAACAATATTTATGTTAAATTTGATTATTCATTCTATTCGATATAATAATATTAATGTTATAGGCTAGCATTGAAGTTGAACTGAATAAATTATGTAATCGTTTGCCACGTACTTTGAACGTTGTATGTACAAATTTTGTGCAGACGTTTAGCATAGGACTCGTAGGGTTACTACTTGTTGACTCGTCTACCGAGGAAGTATGCAATTATCTTCGTTTGTGTGTTCCAACTGATAATCCTGATGAAATGTAACTATTGTTGCAAAAGGTAGAGAGATATGTGAATTATTTCTTAGAATATACACACACAGAGAGAGAGAGAGGATAAAAATTTTTCAATTTTAACAATTTATCACAATTATTTTACAATAAAAATATTTTTTACGATAAAAATAAAAGGAATTTCTTTTTCAGTATTTAATCACTCTGAAACACATTTCAGTATAATCGCAATGAAATACCTGAATACTCATCATGTATAAGTCAATCCATGAAAGTAAATCCATGAACGAGTTGCATAATTTCGTGTAATACAAACTGCAAATTGAAAGCAAATCTAAGAAAGTGAGAACAAAGAAAATAATGTGCTATTCTCAATTTGAAATATCAGATCTGTGAAGATATTAGCTATAGCGAATAGCCTATTTTATATTGTTAGTACATATCAATCTTTAAATCTTTGTAATCAATAATATAAGTTGATATTTCATGTAATTGAAATGACACAATAAATTTATAATTTCATATGTCTTTGTTTTAAATTTAATCTATATATTATTTTATAATAGCAATAATCTATTATTTTTATAATTGTTATAATAATAAAATAAAGAATAAAAATTTATAAATAATTTGATATAAATTAATTGTTTATTATTAAAAATATATGATAAAACAGCGAAATAAAATTTATGAGTCTCCAAAAAATTACGAGGAAACACTGCGTTATCACTGCGTTAAATAGAAGATAACTGGTCTAACAATGTGACGAAGTCTTTCCGCCGTATTTTTATAATAAATAGATTCCTACCTAAAACCGTATCCCTATCTATCCGTGCTTCAGTCTATATTCCTACTTGTCTATATTTTGTCCTATTCATTTTCCTACCTACCTATATATTTTAATTTAAAAAAAAAATCTTTAATTAAAACCGCGACGTAACATGTGACTTATTAGGGGAACCGATTTGTTGGTTAATCCAGCGGGATACCTGAAACTTACTCAAGCGATTAGGATTTAAATGGGATCTTTCCAATCTCGTACATACAAGAGAAAATAGAAGAAAATATAAAAAAAATTAGGCAAATAAATAAGCTAATTTGTACATTACCTTATATTCCACATGATCAAAATTGACCACTTACCTTATTTTTTCCGTCATGTTCCTTCTTCTTTCTTCGGGCTAGATTGGATTTACCTTTCATCGCATCTGGTTACAGTCTGATCGTATTTCAACTAAAAATAAATAAGAAAGAGAAAACTCCTTGTTATCGGCTTATTATTATCGTCGACAGACAATCCCTATAAGCGCAAAATGTTCTTTAGAATGTTATATGGATATTATTAAAAAATTAAAATAATGGTATTATAATATTTCGAGGATACCATAAATATTTTTTTAATATTACGGGAGTATTCTATAGAGATTATATGTCCACTTATATAATACCCTAGGTATTATATCTTAATATTCCTGAAATATTATTAAAATATTTAAAAAAACTTATAAATATTAATTATTTTTAATTTTGTGCAATTTGAATTCACAATCCAATAACGAAAAGTTCTTGTCAGTCTATGCTGCATCTTGTGCTAAAAAAATGTTTCGACGTGATTTTAAGTACATATCCAGTTCTACAACTGCGTGCCAAAATTATTTTCAGTTTTTAAACGTATACTTATACTGAACAGATGTAAGTTTTACAAATTAAAGTAAATGCTGTTATATTTTTTAATGTTTATACGATATTACAGTAACATTAAATAAAAATGTTACTTTTAATTATCATATATTATCAGGAGTGGACATATAACCTTCCATTAATATTTTGAGAATATCATGTAATGTTGTATAATTTTAGTAAAATATTATTATAATGTTACATATTTAATATTCTAAGAATATGCCTAAAATATTACTTCATATTAAATAATGTTATGTGCTTATAAGGATGTTACGTTCGATTTGTATATACATACACGAGGCAATCGTATCAAAAACGATAAATTATTTAAAAAAGAATATTCACAAATTACAATATTCGCGTGAGAATTTCGATCGAACATAAGAGCGCATTCTGTGAATACGGGCCAGAAAATATATTCTTTCCGAAAATTGAAAACCAATTAGAATAAATAAATGATGGCTATTCGAAGAGAGAAATTGTATGAAAGGAAAACGAACTTATAAAATAATGACCAATCGATCTAAAAAATGCAAATCAAAGCAAAGTTATAAATTAATAATGAAGAATTAAATGCTTGTTTATCGAAATTTACGGGTGCACTTCCGAAAACCGGATCCCTCCGATTTCGATGAAATTTTGTAAAAAAAACTCCATTTTAGGTTAAAATGGAAATCCTTCAAAGGATTTTTGGCGACTGCCACGAAAAAGCTATTTTTTTTAAATAAAGCAATAAAATGCATGTTGTGTTTATATTAATAATGAAATTATCAATTTTATTGCATGAACTAAAGCGAATACAATATAGAATACATTTTGTAATACATTTTATAGTTTATTTTAATTATTAATTTCATCTCCTCTCCCCTTAGGAGCGCACAACTTCCACGCAAAAAGATTCTTACCCCACCTCCCTCTCTGCTTGGGGGCGCATGACTTCCACCCCACCCCCCCCTGCTTCCCAGTGAGAAATGACAATGGAATCGACGTCGAATCGACATCGATTTGACGTCGATTCGATGATTTCGACGTTGAATCGACATCGATTCGACATCGATTCCATTGTCATTTCTCACTGGGT